AAAGAGTTTAAAGGGGTTGGTTTGGTTTTTGGTTAAAGACCAAAGTGGTAATAAGGCAGATGTCTTCTTTCTGTCCCTATAAACCGAGCCAGGCTTCATGCTTTTGGTCCTACAAGAAGCAATGCAAACCATGAAGGCCCTGAGGAAACACTACTCAAAAGTATATGCCTCAACGTCCCCTGAAAAGCTGAATGAGGAGTTTATATCACTGATCTACCTGCCCAGGATATTCACTTCAATGTGGTTATGGCAGTGAAAGGCTGGAAACAGCAAAAGAAGACTGCATCCATACGGTGGGACTAGGGGATAAACGCAGTTCTGTAGCACAGCCATGAAACAACCACATGGAAAAACTAGGATGCAGAAGGATTTGTATAGTATGCTACCGTTCATGTTGAAGGAAAAAAGGCATAACGTCTATGTTGGTAAATGCACAGATTACTTCTGAAGGAAACATAAGGAGCTGGTTATCCTTGGGGAGGAGAAAAAGGCATGTGCCTTTTGCCATATATAAGAATTTGTATGGTATGAAAAAAAAGAGAAAGGAAATTCAGTGTAAAGTGAGCAGTCAATAAAATAATACTACAGCGGAAATATTAGACCCATTTGTCCTCTAAGGAAGTTTAGAAAGGGCAGATCTTTTTTTTCCCACATTTTATGCGTGGGAAAATTGAAGATACGTAGAAGGTGCTTGCTCTAAATCTGTGGTTCGCATCCTGTGAGCTTCAGAGGTGGAGGGTGGAGGGGTGGCAATTGACTCATAGTAAGTGCTGCCCCACATTTTATGCATGGGAAAATTGAAGATACGTAGAAGGTGCTTGCTCTAAACCTGTGGTTTGCATCCTGTGAGCTTCAGAGGTGGAGGGTGGAGGGGTGGCAATTGACTCATAGTAAGTGCTGCATAAAAGTTAGTTTGAGAATGAATGAATGAACACTTCTTGGCTTAGTTGGGGAAGGAGTGGGTGGGAGAAGTAACCCCAGGTGCATTGCTCCGCTGCTGTCCAACGCAGGAAGCCTCCCTCTGCTAAGGGCACCTGTGGACAGTGACTCACCGCCATAACCACCAGTTTATTGGTGCAATGTGTTTTACTCTTCAGAGATACTAGGAAAACAAGGGCCTCCTGAGAATGATACACAAAGGATGTGAATGAGTATGTTTAGAATCCTCTTAAATAGCCCCTGGAGAAAAGCCCAGAGTTTCTGCTTCCCTCTCTCAGTTACCACAACTCCTGGTAATTGATAGCTGAATCTTAGGAAAAAGGGACTACGAACTAGTGAGTAATAAAGGCCTTTCTGTTTTGGTGTTCCCAGCATAGAAAGACTATTAAGAAAGAAATAATACTGCTCTGAAAAACAAAATGAAACAAAACAACAACACTGCAAGGAGCTGAGCTTTATTTAATGGACGGCCTCTCCAGTAAATACATCATGCGATTATTTTAAAATAACATTCACTTGTTTTCTTTCTGGTTAGGAAAGTAATGCATGTTTCTTGAAGCAATTTAAGAAAATACAGATATACTAGAAAAAAGTAAATTAAAATTCCCCATGATTCTACCTCTCTGATTGCATTAGTCCCCCCTTACTTGTGGTTTCACTCTCCGAGGTTTCACTTACCTGCCGTCAACCGCAGTCTGAAAATATTATATGGAAAATTCCAGAAGGAAGCAATTCATAAGTTTTAAATTGTGTGCCTGAGTAGCGTGATGAAATCTCTCACTGTCCCACCTGGGATACGAATCATTCCTGTATACACTACTGGTCTATTAGTCACTTAGTAGACCTATCAGTTATCAAATTGACAAAACATAGTATACACAGGGTTCGGTCCTAGCTGAGGTTTTGGGCATCCACTGGGGGTCTTGGAATGTAGCCCCAAGGATAAGGGGGGACTACTGTACACAGTTAATATTTTTATGAATGTTCTTCAATTTCTTTCCTGTGTGTATGAATGTAGTATAATCGGGATCACACTCTAAATCTCCTTTTTATTTAATATGCTGTGAACATTTTCCCAATTCATTATGCTCTTTTTAAAAATGCTTTTTAAGGGGCCAGCCTGTGGCTCTCTCGGGAGAGTGCGGTGCTGATAACACCAAGGCCATGGGTTCGGATCCCATATAGGGATGGCCGGTTAGCTCACTGGGTGAGCGTGGTGCTGACAACACCATGTCAAGGGTTAAGATCCCCTTACCGGTCATCTTTTAAAAAATAAAAATGCTTTTTAAGAGCCAATTCATTACTTAACCAGTTTCTTCTTCTAATAGTTCACTATAAGAAAAAAGCATTAATCTTTGTAATCATCTGCTTACTTTTTTTAGAATAAATTTCCAGAGGTGCAATAGTTAAATGATACATTTTAAAACTTTTTGATTTATGTTGTCTTTCAGAAAGACAACATTAATTTGTATTCCTAACAGCTCTGTATATTTGACAACCCTGTGTACAATGTTTTTAAAAGTCCTTGACAAAAATGTACCCCACTGTCTAAAACATTTTAATGTTTTTGCTAGTGACTATGAGCATTTAAAAAATGATATTTATCCATATGAATTTCTTCTTCCGTGATCTGCCTGCTTGTGTCTTTCATCCGTTATTGCATTTAGGGTGTTAGAGTTTTACATATTGAGTGGTAAGATCAACCTTTTGTCCCATTTGTTAAAGATATTTTTTCCAATTTGTCACTTGCCTGTTTGGTAATGATATTTCCTGTATCTAAGTTTTACATATTTATTCACACACTGTATATGTACTCATCCTTGCCTTTGGTTTCTTCCTATACCTTAGTATTTAGGCCTTCTCCTCTGAATAATTCATGTTTTCTCCTAATTCTCCTGTGATTTTTTTCTGTTTGTAGCTCTTTGCATTCTAATAATTACTTTGGTGATGGTTTAAATAAATCCTTAGTTTAACTTTTTTCCCCCAAATTAATTTCCCCAACCTAATTTATTAAAGAATTTATCCATTTTTCCTTTTCTCCACAGAAGTGAAATGCCAAATTTATCATACAGTGAGTTTTTAAGTATATAGAATATTTCCAGAATTTCAATTATTCCACTGATGCTTAATCTGCTATTCTTGCATCAACACCACACTGTTCTAATCACAGCTTTGCGATATTCTTTAAGATTTCGTAATACAGGTATATCCCATTTTTAAAACAAATTTCTTAGCTTTTCTCATAGATATTCTCCCGTTTGAATGTTAGGAAATTTAAGTGCCCACCCTCCCCAATCTATCCACAACCATTAGAATTTTACTAAACAGAATAATTTGGGTAAAGTTGGTATTTTTGCCTCCTATTTCTTCAACCTTTCCTTGTTATGTTTCAACCTTTGTAATCTCTTCATTAAGAGCCTGCACATTTATTAACGTTATTCCTAGGTATTTTACAAGAGTTCATAATTTTTTTATTTTTTACGTTAAATCTGCTCTTCAAGGTCCTATTGAAGCTTATCAAAGATGACTTTAATATTTTTTTCCAGATTGGTTTTTACTTGCAGGAAACCAGTCAGAAACTAAAGGCTATTTTTGTAGCACTTGTTTATTGAGTGTTCACTTTACACCTGGCATGATGATTATCCCTTTACACACATTATCCCATTTAATGATAAAATATTTTCGGCAGGTTGCTGCAATTTTTATTCCCATTTCATACATGAATGATCCCAGGCTCTGAGAGTTTGAGAAACTTGACAAAAATCACCCAGTTGGTAGGTGGATCTGATCCAAAGTTTGTGAATCTCCCAAAGTATCACCATACATGAATGATCCCAGGCTCTGAGAGTTTGAGAAACTTGGCAAAAATCACCCAGTTGGTAGGTGGATCTGATCCAAAGTTTGTGAATCTCCCAAAGTATCACAAAAATCAGTCAACCAACAGGACAACCCAATGCTGTGCCATCAGAACGGCTAATTCAAGAGAGTGCCTTTTCGAAAGCAATCGAATGAATTTTAAAAACAATGCTTTCCATCCACCGGACCCTTCAAAAACACTGGTTTTCCTCCAACATAAGGCGTGGATCAATACTCTGCAGAGGCACAATAAAAACCAGTGACTTACTGAGCCTCCTTTAGAATCAGGGACTCGTGGATAGTAAAGCACGGCTTTTCCGGAGCTTTTGTAGGAACTGCCCGTTTGGAAATCTACCAACCCATCGCAGGACAGGTTTGAAAAACAGAAAGAAAAAGCAGGTGGAACCTACGGAAGGTCGGCTAGGGCAGTGCGCCGCGGAAGGCAGAACTTTCTGGGGTATCCCGTCCGCGCGTTTCGCGCGTGGTGCGCGCAGGTGGCGCCTCAGTCCCTGAGCTCCCCGTGCGAGCCGGCGTGTGCCCGGGAGGCCACCGCGAGTCTCCGCGAGGGTGAGGGGACGCCTTCCCGCGAGGCGAGGGAGGAGGGAGGGCAGGAAGCGGAGCCAGCGCCGGCGAAGAAAGACTCCGATTCCCAGCCCCCCCGCCCCGCGGGGCGCGTGGCGCCGGCGGCGCATGCGCGAGGCCCGGCCCCCAATTCCCCCAGCGCGGGAGGTGGGCTTTTAAAAGTCCTTGACAAAAATGTACCCCACTGTCTAAAACATTTTAATGTTTTTGCTAGTGACTATGAGCATTTAAAAAATGATATTTATCCATATGAATTTCTTCTTCCGTGATCTGCCTGCTTGTGTCTTTCATCCGTTATTGCATTTAGGGTGTTAGAGTTTTACATATTGAGTGGTAAGATCAACCTTTTGTCCCATTTGTTAAAGATATTTTTTCCAATTTGTCACTTGCCTGTTTGGTAATGATATTTCCTGTATCTAAGTTTTACATATTTATTCACACACTGTATATGTACTCATCCTTGCCTTTGGTTTCTTCCTATACCTTAGTATTTAGGCCTTCTCCTCTGAATAATTCATGTTTTCTCCTAATTCTCCTGTGATTTTTTTCTGTTTGTAGCTCTTTGCATTCTAATAATTACTTTGGTGATGGTTTAAATAAATCCTTAGTTTAACTTTTTTCCCCGGCTCGAGGGCAGGATGTGAGAGCAGGACAAAGGCTGGGCGGCGGGGGAGGAGTTGGGGACGGCGAGCCGGTGGCCGCCGCCGGAGCCCCAGCCCCGGGCGAGCTAGCGGAGTCGGCAACTTTCTCTGCAACTTTTGCAAAAGGGAAGATAAAAATTCTGCAAGTTGTTGCACAGCTCTAGATCGCCCCGGGTCCAGCACTCAGAGGGGAAGGGGGCACCGCAACTTTCCCCGGACGGGAGGCGACCGCTAGCTCCGTCGAGTGGGCTGGAGGCCGGGTGAGCGGGGATAGGATACCGGGGGTCGGAGCCCGGGGCGCGCTGCGGTCGCTGAAGTTGCCCGTGTCCACGCAGCCCGGTAGCTTCGGATCGCAGCGCTGCATACGCGATGATGGATGAGCCGTGGTGGGAAGGGCGCGTCGCCTCGGACGTTCACTGCACTCTGCGCGAGAAGGTCAGTCCCTCCCCACCCTTGTCACTCGCAGGACTGGGTATTTAAAGTGCCTTTCGCTCTCGACTCCGTGTTCTCTGATCGCCCCGCGTGGGAACTCAGAACTCCCGGGTGCCTTTCTTTCCTCCTGCTCTTTCCCTTCTCCCGGAGTGTCTGGTGGCTAGGAATGGGGGTGAAGGGATGGGGAACGGAGAGTGGGGAGCTTGCAGTTGGTTTTTCTGATTAGGAACCCAGAGCTCCCGGCCAACTAGGAGGTAGTCACTGTACCTCTAAGGCAGTATTTACCATAGGTTATTTTAAGTGGTACATAAATGGACCTTTAAAAAAAATCGTGTATTCATTTTAATGTGCAATTATAAACTATGTGTATATCTAGCAAGTTCTGCATAAGATAAATGATGTTCATTTTCCACTTATTGTACTAGTGATGTAGCAGCTCCTTCTAAAATNAAATTTATTTAAGCAAAAGTAGTGACTCATTATAAAGAAATATTAGGTAAATGGTATTACAGGGAGTACCTAGTTATGGCCAAATATCTGTATGGGGGTGTGTGCATATATATACATATAGGATGGGACTGAATGATTGACATTTAAGAAACACCAATCTAATTGAAAGAAGCTACAAAACTGTGAGGATGAGGGTAGAAAATAAAAACTCCCCTGCCAGTTTGCCTTCTGTGGCAGAAGGTGGGGGCAACTGAAACGTGATATCTGAGCTCCACTCCCTTCCCAGAGAGAAGCGCTGATGGGCCTTGAGAAGGTGGGAAAGTCCAGGTGGGCTGGAGGCATTGGCCTTTGTGTCTTCTCTCTGGCCCCTGGGCTGAGACTGGGAAGGGTGGTTTGGGGAACAAGTGTGTAGCTGAGAGTGAATTGGTTTCCTAGGGCTGTCAGAACAAAGTACTTTGTCAGTACCAAAGTACCAAGAGAGCTTAAGGCAACAAAAATGTATTGTCTCACAGCTCTGGAAGCTAAAAGTCTGAGATCAAGGTGTTGGGCAGGGCCATGATCTCTCCAAGGACTCTAGAGGAGGATCTTTCCTTCTCTCAAATTTTGATGGTTGCTCGCAATCCTGGGTGTTCCTTGGCTTGTAACTTCATCTCT